TCCTTAAATGTTACAATGCAACACCCTTAGCAATTAATTTATTTAGCGGTTAACAACATCTATCTAATTTGTTAGAAAATTACAAAATATCAGACTACCGGAAAACATCTTTGGCACTTTGGGAAACATACTAAAGTTTATTTCCATTAGTTATATTTTTGTAAATCTCTCTATATAAAATTTCAATATTTCAAAGCTTTTAAATGCAAGTGCTGTCATCATTTTAATTATTTGTGTGTGACAAGGGAAGTGATTTCAAATGTAGGAGCAGGTTGGACTGCTAACTGGATATAGGTCTATTTCAGTCCTTATTCTCTGCCAGTCTAGCTCAGTTTAATGGAATTAATTGCTCCCCATTTTTCTAAAAACAGCAGAACATTGGCACTACTGAATAGTTGATTTGATAATGGCTCCTGGTGTGATGGAGTGTACTTTTTAGTATGTGTATTAATCATAAATTTCAGCTGTTTCTCACTATTTTTGAATTGTACATTCATGTCGTCTAGAACTAGATACCTGAAGCCCTAGGTTTCTCTGTTCGACGATGCTACTCTGTGTCCTACCATTAACTGTACAAGTCCTGCACTTGTTTGTCTTACCGAAATGCAATACATCCCATTTATCCGAATTAAAGTCCATCTGTCACTCCTTGGCCCATTGGCCCAATTGGTCAATATCCCTTTGTATTCTTAGATAACCTTCACCCCCCTTTATACCACCAATTTTGGTGTCATCTGCAAACTTACTTACTTACCATTATTCCTAAATTCTCGTCCAAACTATTTATAGAAATGACAAACAACAGTGGACCCAGCACCAATCCCTGCAGAACACCGCTGATCACAGGCCTCCAGTCTGAAAACCAACCCTCCATCACCACCTTCTGTCTCCTACCATCAAGCCAATTTTGTATCGTTGACAAGCTGTCCTGAATCCCATGTGATCAAACTTTACTAATCAGTCTATCATGTGAAACCTTGTCAAAGGCTTTACTAAAGTCCACGTAGACCCATCTACCACACTGCCCTTATCTATTGTTTTGGTCATGCCCTTAAAAAAACTCAATCAAGTTTGTGAGATGCGATTTCCCACGCACAAAGTTTTGAAATTAAGCTTGAAATATTGCTCTGATAACTGCTGACTGAAAGCAAAACTTTGTTAGATCTATTAATGCCATTTCGGTGTGATGACTAAATGCTTGGATCAAAGAAATATTAAAGAAGGAGGGAATGAAGAATCAGAGGCGTTCATGTGGGGAAATCCAGACTTTGAAGCTGAGATTAGAAAATGATTGAGGCCATAAAGGGAATCCTGTAGACGAGCATTCTGGATCTAAGAAATTTAAAAACAAGAAACAAATGTAGGCCAGTGAAGACAGAAGAAGGGTGACTGGATATCCACATAATGCTACAGGCAGCAGAGTTTGAGATGAGTTGAAGTTTAGAAGATCGAGAAGGCCAGCCAGAAAATCTTTGATATAGTCAAGTTTGAAATTAACAAAAGTGCTCACGAGAATTCCAGCAATTGAAGGATTAAGTTGGGATGAATGGGGACAATGTTAATGGGTGGAAGTAGGCCACCTTTGTGATAATCCAGATGCAAATCCACTTTCATAACAAAAAATTTAAAAACAAAAGCATTACCTCTGAGTTTAACACAGCAAATTGGTGACATGCTTTTTTATGAAAACAATTATCTATGTAAGGCAGAAAACTGCCTGTGCAATTAATCTTGATGAATTACAAAGAGTACTGAAGAGATTCTTGTAAATTTAGATCTATTGAAGCTGTGCCTTTTAGTCTCTCGTACATTCAGTCATCTGTTATAAGTCCTAGGAAACAACAAAACTCAAAATCGCCATCTAATTTTGTTTTGTACCAAATGTCATTCTGGATTAAAGTTACCATGCTGGTCTAGTGGATAAAGGTACTGCACCTGATAGCACTAAGTCATACAGACTAGAAAGCCTCATGCTTGTTTCCTGTTCTATATTAAGTCTGCAAATCTCAAAAGCAACATTAGGAGATCACAATTTGCCATTTCACCTGTTTGAAATGGGGAAAAACTGCCAGGGTTCCTACTCCTTTTTGCCCTCCATTGAATCCTGCTGAGCTTCAGGCATCAGGCAAGGTCAAGATTGAAACAAACAAAAACAGAAATTGCTGAAAAATCTCAGCAACTCTGGCAGCATCTGTACAGAGAAAACAGAGTTAATGTTGGAGTCCACTGATCCTCCAACAAGATTGAGTAACCTGGTCTGTCTTGTCAAATCCTGCTGTTATTGGCCCTGGGCACTGTTGTGCGATGATCACTTAAGCAGATCATTTGAAAGTTGCTGGTATCAACAAGTTATAGCACATTCAAAAGGATAAGGGTGAAAACTGAACAGGAAGAGAGAATTTTAAAGAATAAAGTGATGACTTTAAGGAAATATTTTAAAACCGTGAATACATGAGTTAGTGAATTAACTGATTCAGAGGAGCTGCAGAGACTAGTGAATAGTCTGATCAAAGAGAGATTAACACAGGAAAGTTTTAGGGATTGTGTTCTTGTTGTCTTTTGCATGGAAACTCCACTAAGCAAATTTCCTAATGAATTAAAATTACAATTAGTTTTATTGTCACATGTACTCAATAAGTACAGTGAAAAGTTTACAAGTCGCTGCTTGCAACGCCATCTTAAGTACAAAGATAAAAACCGAAAGAACTGCGGATGCTGTAAATCAGGAACAAAAACAGAAGCTGCTGGAAAAGCTCAGCAGGTCTGGCAGCATCTGTGAAGGAAAAATCAGAGTTAACGTTTTAGGTCCGGTGACCCTTCCTCAGAACAGTTCTGAGGAAGGGTCACCGAACCTGAAATGTTAACTCTGATTTTTTTATTCACAGATGTTGCTAGACCTGCCGCGTTTTTCCAGCAACTTGTTTTTGTTCCTTAAGTACAAAGGTACCTAGGTACAGATTCTTAAGTACAAATTCTTAAGAAAAAATTTGAAAAAATAAATCCAGCTTTACAGACCTTCGTGCCATCTTAGGTACAAAAGTACAAAATCAAAGGAATAAATTAGAAGAAAAAAAAATGTTCAGGATAACAGTCTTTCCAACACAGTCCATGCTGGCATCTAGCCTGCAATCCATGCTGGCCTTCACCTCCTGACCGCACTAGACTTCACCTCGAGAATCTTGAGGCCAGGAGTCTGCTCAAGATTCACCTCGCGTCCAGGAGACCACGCTGGCTTCACCTCGAGGCTCTCAAACCTGGGAGTCTGCACTGGCTTAACGTCGAGGCTCTTGAGGCCAGGAGCCGCGCTGAGGCAGAGTCTGTGATAACTTCACTCAAGTCAAGGATGGGAGATAGGTAAGAAGAAAGAAGGGAAAAAAAGCATGAGAAGAGGAAAAAAAGAGTAGAAACGTACAGAGTGGACAAGCTGCAGGTGAGGAGTCCTACTCCACCATCATCTTGGATTTGAATGAAATCCAAATGAAATCACTTTCCAAATTCTTTTCCGAACAAGTGGGTAAAATATTAAATTATCACTGTACTTCAACTTTATTTTCCATAGCATTGACATTTTAGCTTTTACATGTCATTTTTTAAATCTGTGACTGACTGTTGGCCCGTACCAGATCCCACAAATGTACTCCACTGCAAATATCAGTTGCCAAGGCCACAATCTTTAAAGCAAAAAAAATTTCAAAATGTTTATCATTTTAATTACGCAAGAATCTAAATATATTTTTGCAAAATTAGTAACTGTTTTAGATAACAACTCCTAGATTGTACAATTCCTGATTATTTTAGCTTCAAGCAGAATAAAATCTTTTTTTAATTATTCGTTCATGGGATATGGGCAGTATTACACATTCCTAATTGTCCAGAGGGCAGTTAAGAGTCAGCCACATTGCTATGGGTGTGGAGTCACATGTAGGCCAGACCAGGTAAGGATGACAGTTTCCTTCCCTAAAGGGCATTGTGAACCAGATGGGCTTTTCCTGACATTCAGCAATGGATTCATGGTCATTGTCAGCCTCTTATTTCCAGATTATTATTGAACTCAAATTCCACCATTTGCTGTGGCTGGATTTGAACCTGGATCCCCAGAACATTATCACTGGTTTGTTAATCCAGATAATACCACTAAGCCATTGCCTATCCATATACTTCATACCCATAAACTCAGACTTTCACAATTGAATTAGGTTTATTGTCACATGTACTCACGTAAGTACAGTGAAAGCCGCCACTCATGGCGCCATTTTAGGTACAAAGATACCTAGGTACAGAGTTCTAGGTACAAATAAGGAAAAAAGTTTAAAAAGTGAAACATTACAATCCTTACTACTAAAAAGTGGAAAAACAAAGAAATACAGTTAACAGTTCAACACAACAGTCTATAAGCACCTGGCCAAGTTGGGCTTGCACTCCTCACAAGGGCTAGACCTTTGCTCTTGTCGCTGCCACAGGCTGCCTGCTCTCTCTGCCTTGCAGCCTGCTCCTCCTCCTGCTGCTGCCTTGGTCTGCTTGCTCCAACTTTCACCGCCAACCACCTCAGTCTGCCTGCTCCCACTCTCGCTGCCAGCCGTCCTGGGCTGTCTGCTCCCACACTCCCGCTGGACGGTGAATCAAACTCTATTATTTTGAGGCCGTTAATATTTTGGCATCTATTTCACACGTCCTGCTTCTTCCATAACAATTAGGTATTTCACCATTTGGTTACCATTTCCTACTTGATAGATGATCTGTTCCCATGCTGCTTTGTGTCCGTCTTAAGCTAGCCATTGTATTGCATAAGCATGTCAGGATGACATGATTGAGTTTTCCTTTTCTATGATACGTTGTGAAATCAGGAGCTTATCATCTTAGATGCATGTGTTACTGGATATTAACGTTATAAAACTGTCACGTTTGCCTGTTAATAGGCATGTCAAAAGGGAGGCACCAGAAATGTGACTTCAACAATTTTCCTTTTTTATTCTAATTTTGTATATTATATTCTGTTTCAGGTGAGTCAGTCGCACCCACGCATTCTCCAAGGTATCCTAGTCCAGCTGAACTTGATGCTTATGCCCAGAAGGTGGCTAACAGCCCACTAACAATCAAGATCTTTCCTACAAATATCAGGGTTCCTCAGCATAAACACCTTAACAGGACTGTAAATGGCTATGATACAACAGGACAACGATACAGTCCATACCCTACACAGTCTGGAGGATATCAGGGTCTTTTAGCAATTGTGAAGGTGCACAGTAAAAGTGTGGTGAAAAACACAGATGGCAAGAGGACACGAATGTCCCCAGCACAAGTTGGAAATGGCAACATTGGATCCTACCCGGTGCCAAGCACTTTAGCGCAGAGTCAATCGTGTACTGGGCAAACAAGTTACCACAATGGCCAGAAGTCTTTGGAAGGACCTGCTCCACCTAATGTAACGGTTGCCACATCTGTTATTCCTATAGGAGGACGTAGCTTGGCTCTACAGCAGTCAAATCTCCCTTCAATTCAAAGTATCATCTACCAGATCAACCAGCAATGCCAGGCTCAGGCATCACAACAAGCTTCAACTGCAGTCTGTCAAGGCTCTCTTGTCACCAATCCAAGTCCAATCACAGTAGCCAGCCGCAATACAGTCAATGGCTTTACTAGCATGATTAATGGAAGTGTGATGTATGCTGGAAATGTTGTGTCTGAATGCCGTGGAGGAGCAGAGTTGACAGCTGCTTCGGGTTTAGCCTCTGCAGCAGGTCCTAAACCTGGGGCCTATCCAGATGGAATGGATTATTTACTATGGCAACAGAAACAACAAATCCGTATATATTCTGGCAGTGGTGGTGGGGGAATAATAAGTAAATCACCAGAGGTTTGTGGTGTCCCACGACCATACACTTTGGCACCTACTGTTGAAAAAGTCCCTTCATCTCCCTTGAACTGTGTGGGCATGCACTGCAATTTTTCAACGGGGCAGTATTTGGCTGCCCCTTGGAACAGCGTACTCGTGACACCAGACAGTGACTGTTATAACCCACAGGACCTCACAAATGGCCACCGTGACCTTGTTCATCCTTCAGATGGGCTCACCAGTGTCTCAAGTAGAACGCTGTGTAATACCTCTATCCTCAGCAGTAGTCTGCAGTCACTGGAATATTTGATCAATGACATTCACCCTCCCTGCATTAAAGAGCAAATGTTGGGTAAAGGATATGAGACTGTGTCAGTACCTCGATTATTGGACCACCAAAATGCTCACATTCGACTACCTGTTTACAGATAGAGAATTGCAGTTTGGAAAAAATAGAATGATAGTGTTAAATCTTTTATAGATATACACACAAGCCTCCAGCCTCAATACAGCAATCAAAGGCAAATGGAAGTCAAGTGTTTAAAATGTTCCAGGGATTACAAGATGGTGAAATGAGTTTGGTTTGGACAAAAGTATCGAATCTACCGATGTCAACAATGAAAGGGATGGCTTTTTTAAAAAAAATTACAATAAAACGGGGATTGGGGATTAGCATTGGACACTAGAGAGCAAGATGCTATCAGAAATGTGCAGAAAGCTTTGCCATGTCTGCTGATGAGTCTGCATGCAGAAAAATTTAAATTTCGAATCCTGCGCTGAATTCTGTGACCATGTAGTCCCAGGATCCTCGCCATGGTCGCTTCATCATTGTCATCTTCAATTTGCTGTGGTTTCAAAAGATGAGCTACTGCCTAAATCCTAGTGGAGAGTCGTTATTGCACTGTATTGGAATAAAGATAAACATGGGGACTGACCAGAAAATTATAAAAGAAAGTAACTTGGAAAACTTGAACCTAATTCTTTAACTCTTATTTGCAATTTTAATTGTGTTGGCTGCTACAACAAATAACTTATACTTTTAAGTTTTTAAAAAAATTAAGATAATTTCACTTTAGGGAATTGCTAGTTTTTAAAGTGTTTTTGTAATGAAATATATACCCACATTGTGCTAAAATAGCATAACAAGCTGTGAGAAGGTATAAGGGTTGATGGTCTTGATAAATGCACTCAAGAAGAATGTGCTACACATTTATTGATATTTCCATAGGACGAGGAAACACATTAGATGTAAATGAATTTGTAAGAGCACATTCCTACAAAAGCAGATTGTGTGTGTATATACTGGCCCTTTTGTTTTAACTTTCTATGTTGGAGGGGGAGGAAAAGAAAGTCCTCTTGTGCATTGCAGAATATCCCGATATGGAGAGCTGCTTTACTGAGAAACTGTAATATTTGGCAACTGTAAAATTATAGTAGGCCATACCAAATTACTGCAAGTAGTCAAGCTGGCACCGATACAAAGCCTACGTTGATATTTGCTGTGGACCTCACTATGAACCACAAGATAGTGTTTTATCTTGCTTCTCCCACTTCTTTCCCATCAAATATAAAATAACTTTTGCTGCTTCTGGTACTTTCTAATATTATTATTCAATTAGCTATTAAGTGCTGCATGACCAGGATTCTGGTGACTCGGAGGGCCATTAATACTTTGATAAGTGTATTCTCCCTCCCCGCACTCCTTAAATTTGCTACTAGCCACCACTCAGCAGCTACCTTAAAACAACAGTAAAAGGAATCTTAACACTGCATCTTGTGTTTGAGTTAATAATTTTGGCTTTTGTAATCAAATTACCATAATTACATGTTCTTAATTCCAAACATCAATTTTTAATTTCATAGAGTTGTCATAAAGCAAGTTTTCACTTAACCAAGACAAGTTGCCTAGATAAATTAGTCAAAATTATTTTAACAGATTTGTATTTTAATCCAAAAATATTGAAGCACTGTAATAAGCTGTGGCTTGCAGTTTCCACATATATTGCCAGAAAATACACATTTTCTTTTAATTGTTCAATATCTTACAAGCTGTAAGTATTTAGATCACCACTGCAATTGCATAACCTTTTATTTTCTATACTATTTAATGTCTGGCAAGATAATTTGGATGATTAAAGCTTTAAGTTAATTGTTACACATTAATTCATGCAGGGTTAAAAATCTTCTAATTGATTTTTTTCAAAAAAGAGAACAAAACAAGATTTTATGTTGGGTACGAAGCATCTTATGATGGAAGAAATGTCAACCCTCTAACATGTGGAATTACCAGGTGTCCAGAATCTATGAAGTACTATTATAATTTTGTCATTTTGCTGCTCAGTTGGGACAACAGGCTCTGGCATTCATTCCAGTTTTTTTAATTTCTTTTTTTTTTCCCACCCATCCTCCTCCTCTATCTCCCCCCTTCCCCATCTGACTAAGTTAATATTCTCTGATTATTATCAACATTTTCACACTATTTTACCGCATGCTTTAACCCAGAGAATGAGGAACAGGAGGCTGCAGATTTATTTATATCTGTTTTGTTAATAAACAACAGAAGGGCAGACAAAATATAGTTGGATGGTTGTATTCTTTCCTTTTTCCAATTTTACATCCTCTACCACCACCCCTCAACAATTGGAGGCCATGTCCTTGTAGACTGAAGTATAAACTTCTACTTGATTCAATCAAAATATCCACTGCCTCAGTCCTGTTTTGGGTGCTGCTATTTCACAACTTGTTGAAATGAAAGGTAGATATGATCAGCATCTGTAAGGAGAAAATTCAAGATTCAGTATAAACATTTCATGAGACCCACGTAATTACTTTTTCTTTTGTTCAATATTGATGCACCTATTGTAGACTTCCAACAATTTCTGCTTGTGTAGTAACATCCAAAATGTCTCATGTTTCACGAAATTTACATCTTCCCTTTTGTATTCTTTCTACATGTCCAGTTGTGGCCGTGGCAATTGTGTTTCACCCGTGTGATGTGATTAATTTTCTGTACTCACTGCATTACTTATAATGTTAGTGTGTTGTGGAAACTACACCACAATAGGTCCATTTTTCTTACCTTTCTACAGTTTGATTTAGTATAGAAACAATAGTAAACTTTATAATGACCACAAGTACTTCCTATGCTTGCGTGCTATTGCTCTGTGTAACACCCGTAAAGATCTGATGAAATTCAGCCACCAAATTTCAGTAAGGTTCAAAATATAATTTATAGTCTAGAAATCAGGTGCCCAATTTGGATGTGATTATTTGAATTGGCTTTAACTTGAATTTGCTGAGCAATTTGTATGGGAACACATGCAACAAATATCCAATCCTTTCAGAAGTACTGGGTTTTACAGATTGTGTTTTTAATCTCTGCCAATCTCTGTGGGATGCTGACTTTCTTAATTTTTATTTCATTAGTGCTTTCCAAATCTGTGTATATTCTTGAGTTCTGTTTTATTTGTTGTTGCATACAATTGTGTATCTAGCCTTTATTTAGAGGAAAAATAGCAAATACAATTGCCTTGCACAATGCAACTAATTGTACAGAGACTATAAGGAATGTGATGTCAGGAACATTTTGTTCCAAATTGAGAAAAACTGAGAAGGAATGAGGGTATTCTACCGCATTTTTGGTTATTGAATCACTTGATTTTCACATGAATAGTAACAGTGTACAAGGATAGTCAACATTCATACCTGTCAAGTAAGTGGATGGTACATACTGGGGGTGTGACTTAATTAATTACCACAAGGGAGTCAAAATCCAAATATTTTGTACAAGCATAACTTGTCAATTACAAACAGTTGATTTTCCACTTTAGCCATACTAAATAAATTCTGGGATGACTGACCAGGTTAATCTCCTGATGTAGAGAAACTCATTAGGATGGTCAATTTATATATTGTCCTTGCGTCTCTGGACCTGGTTTGATTTCAGCTGCATTATGAGATACAAGTTTCTCCACCCAACTGACCATGAGAGTCCTGTATGCAAACAGTTTAGGACACAGCCTTGTTTTATTTTAATTATGTAGTTATAACACCATAGTTCAAAATGTTCTGAAATTCAGTTGGCTGTGCATAAAAACTAATATTGAAAGATCCTTTTAAGCCTTGCATTTCAGTGACATAAATGAAGGTTCACTCTACATCTCTGATTTGGGAAAACATTGTTAATCATAGGTACAAATTCATGAACATTCCAATTTCTTAGTAAACACATCCTAATCTCAGTAAAACATTACAAAAGATGTGTCAGTGATGATATTTTGTATCATTGGCATGTTCTATAATACTGGCATCAGTGAATTTATAAGTTAATGTGCCAGCCTTTACAACATGAATATTTGGTGCAGCTAGAAATCTCATGAGTTGTAAGGCTAATTTTTCTTTCTTGGTGTTGACCAGTCCATTAGTTTCAAAGTAAGTGTGTATTGCCTCATAATGATTCTGTTTATATATGCAATACATTTTTGTTTCCTGCAATTCAAATGCGATTATTTTGTAATATATATTCCTTCACAGGATGTTGACTTCACTGGCTAGGCCAGCAAGTGTTGCCCATCCCTACTTGGCCTTGAAAACCTGGTGTGCACCCAGCTTGAAGTGCTGCTATCTTTGGGGTAGTAGGTACACCGACTACATGGAAAAGTAATCTATGTATTAAATCTAAGGAACTGGATCAGGCTGGGGCTAGAATTGAAGTTTGTGAGGACAGGTGAATTATACACTGCCCATCATTGTTTTGGTCAGATATGCATTTGTACAAGTCTGACCTGAATCAGTGTTTTAATACAGTAAAAGTTTTAAAGAATACACATCTCTTCCTACCCAGTCCATTATAACCACGGATAATAAATGTAAACTCTGTCCAAGAATAATTATTCTGTAGTGAAGCATTATAAACACCTCAATTACAAAATATCCTGACTTGTCAGAACACCGTTTTAAATACCCTCTCTTTTTCCCTTTGCCTTCATCTCTCAAGCTTGCTCCCTTCCATGCAGAAAGAAACAGGAGTTTATTTGCCATACAGTATCAGAATTTCTTGTTTCAAACATTGGAAAAAAAATTAGCACAGCCATTTACCATTGAACTGATGGCAAATTCCTCAATCATATTTTCCAGAATTGAGATCTTTCCTCTTTTTACCATCCAACAAGTAAAAACCTAGGAATTGGGTTTTAGACTGAATGCAGGCATTCTCATTTTCTTATGTAGTATAATTGATGTTCAGGCTGATGGAATTCTTGTAAAATTTGGAGAGAAGAATAAAACAAAAACAACTGAATCCAACTTTTCAGCACCTATAGTACATGTAATTCTATTTTCCATCCATGCTTGCATCTTACAGTATTGTGCAATAAAATGGGTTCAGTGATGGTGATGCTGAGAAGTTTTTGATATTGTGCTAACGATAAGTTGGATGAAGAATTTTTGGATGTGGTAATAATAAAATGTATTCAGAGACTATTCATCAACTAATCAAATTCTAATTGACTGAAATATAGAATCTATTAAATCCAGACTGACCCCCAGTGAATATATCCTGACAGTCAATTCCATTTATTAGCAGTACATTTTCTAAGGCACTTTTTTAATTGGCCCAAGTTATATCCTTACGTTGTTCTCATGCAATGTGTCTGCAAATAGGTAGGTCAGTAACAGGACGTTATCCCTTTGTTATGACACTGGAACTAAACATAGTTATTAACTAAAGTAAGCTTGTACTGATGCCAAAAGTAAAACTCTGCATTTGCTTAATATGGAAACAATAACCCCATTTTCTAGTTTCAGCTGCTATCTGTCAAATCTCTTTCGGGGAACTATTCTGAATTGGATGAACTGACATGTTAAGAGAAAATCCTGAATATCAGAGCTGAAGTCTGTTTGATAAAAACTTTATTCCTTAGATGCCAGAGCATCTGAGTAGAGAATAAACATTAAACTAGAATTTATCAAGGGAAAGAAAGAAACCGTAAAATCTCCTGACAGGCTGATACTATTACTGTTTGAAAGATACAGAAAGTGGCTCTGAGGTGGAGATTTAGGAAGGAAAAGTGCTGAATTCTCCTCAGTCTGATATTTACTTTATATGGTTCATTGATACTAATAGAGCTAATCCAGAAAATATTCTACCCATGATGACCTTATCAACTTTTGAACAAGCATATCCTTGGCCAAACAATAAGGTGTATGCATTAGGATAATGGTATTAAATTCCAAATTGGATTCTACTTAGACCATTGCGTCATTCTATTTTTCTCCCTTACAATGTATGACATGTCATTAGACTCTGTTTTGCGCAGTGAAAAGCAAGTCTCTCACATTATTTTCCAGTTGCTGAGAAAAGGCAAAAGAATAACATCTAAAGAATGGGATTTATTTGTTTAAATGAATGAGCGTCTTCATTTAACGAATTTGAGAAGATATTTTGTTTGTGAAGAAAGAATGCCCATATTTATTTTTGTCCTCAGACTCATTAATCTAGCCACTAATCAGATTTGCTTCACTCCTGGTACATTCTGCTCAAGGACTTTCATCAAAATTTTCAGTAGTATCATGGAGAGAATTCATCCTTTGTGATCAACATGAGAGGGTGAGGATATGCCATCTTAAAAGGTGAACATAGACAAAAGTGCAGACAAGGTGACTGCAGTCCATTCTTTTGTCATTTTAGGAGCAATGTGCACCTGTGGCAAAAAAATTCTGTTCTCTTATTCTTTCCATTGATTGGATGCTGAAGATGAAAAGATTATGTAGATAAAACTAATGT